GGTCTGTCTATCCCAGTACTGTATTCTGACAGTAATCAATACCAGATGCCTCAGAGGGAATGAACAGAAGGGGGTAATTATCGAGTAATCAATCTGCTGTTGTCCACACACAGCATGTGGCAATCAGAGGCAGAGCATGGGACTGCATTTTTGACCATCTTGGCTAATAGCAGTTGATGGACCTATCCTCCATGAATTTATCAAACTTTTTTTAACCCAGTTATAATTACAGCCTTCACAACATCCCCTGGCAATGAGTTCCACAGGATGACTGTTCACTGTGTGAAGTAGTATTTCCTTTTGTTTACTATAAATTTGCTGCCTATTAATTTCATCACGTGATCCCTGGTTCTTCTGTTATGTGAAAGGGGTAAATAGCACTTCCTTATCCACTTCCCCACACCATTCATTTTCTATTCCTGTATCATATCCCCACATTGTTCATCTTGGAAAAGAGATAACTGTCTTATTATTCTCTCCTCCTATGGATGGTATTCCATACCCCAATCATGTATGTATTTATGTATGTTTGTTTGTCCTTCTCTGTACTTTTTCCAATTCTAATATTTTTTTTTGGACAGGGTGACTAGAACTGCATATAGTATTTAAGGTGTAGCATATCATGGACTTATATGGTGGCATTATATTTTCTGTCTTATCACCTATTGCTTTCCCAATGGTTCCTAATATTCTGTTATCTTTTTTGATTGCCACTGCACATTTTGTGGATTTTTTTTAATGAACTATCCACAATGATTCCAAGATTGCTTTCTTGAATGGCAACAGCTAATTTACACCCTATCATTTTGTATCTATAGTTGGGATATTTTTTCCAATGTCAGGTTTCAGAGTAACAGCCGTGTTAGTCTGTATTCGCAAAAAGAAAAGGAGTACTTGTGGCACCTTGGAGACTAACCAATTTATTTGATGAAGTGAGCTGTAGTTCACGAAAGCTTATGCTCAGATAAATTGGTTAGTCTCTAAGGTGCCACAAGTACTCCTTTTCTCTTTTCCAGTGTGTTACTTTGCATTTATCGACACTGAAGTTCATCTGCCATTTTGCTGCCATGTCACCCAGTTTCGTGAGATCTCTTTGTAACTCATCACAGTTTGCTTTGGCTTAACTATCTTCAGTAATTTTGCATCATCTCCAAACTTTGCCATCTCGTTTCCATATTTTTCCAGTTCATTTATGAATCTGCTGAACAACACTGTACAGATCCCTTAGGGACCCAACTATTTACCTTTCTCCATTGTGAATACTGACCATATATTCCTACCCGTTGTTTCCTATCTCTTAACCAGTTACTGATCCATGACTTCCCTTTTATCCCATGACTTCTTACTTTCCTTATGAGTAATGCTATGATTTAGTCACGGAATCCATGACTTCCCGAGACCCCCATGACTTCAGTCTGCAGCGGTGGAGAGCTGCGACCGTATGGAGTACCCCACAGCTCCTGGTTGCCGCAAGCAGCGGGAACCCCGGCAGCTCTGACGCAACCCGTGGTGGGGGACCCCTGGAGCTCCTAACCCCCCACCCAGCTGCCTGATGCAGCCTGTGTGGGCACCCACAGATCCTCACAAATATTTTTAGTAAAACTCAGGGACAGGTCACGTTGTCAAAGGCGTTCTGCAAGTCCAAGTACATTATATCTACAGGACTACCCTTGTCCACAAGTTTGTTGACCCCCCCCCCCCCCGAGAATTCTAATAGATGTAGCATGATTTCCTTTAACAAAATCCACGTTAACTTCCACAACAAATTGTGTTCATCTAGGTGTCTGATAATTCTGTGCTTTCCTATAGCTTCAACCAATGTCCCTGGTACTAAAGTTAGGTTTACTGGTTGCTAGTTGCCAGGATTGCTGCTGAAGCTTTTTAAAAATAAATTGGTATTACATTAGCTATCCCAAGTCATCTGGTATAAAGGCCAATTTAAGTGGTAGGTTACATACCGCAGTAAGTAGTTCTGCACTTTTCATATACGGGTTCCTTCAGTACTATTGGGTGAATGCCATCTAGCCCTGGTGACTTATGTTTAAATTTTCAATTTATTTGAAAACCTCCTTTACTGACACTTGTTTAGCACCTCAATCACCGAGCAGCCCCACCAATTGTCTGGCAGGCTCCCTGCTGCTGATGTACTTCAAACAATTGGTGTTCATGTCAGTGACTTTTCCTAGTTGCTCTTCAAAAGTCTTTTTTGGACTGCCTAATTATATTTTTACACTTGACTTGGCAGAATTTTCCTCAGTAGGGTTTGACTTTCAATTTTTAACGGATGCCTTTTTGCCTCTAATTGCCTTATTTACTCTGCTGTTTCATCTTGGTGATATTGTTTTAATCCTCTTACTGTTTGGAGTTTTTCTCCCCTTAGGAGTACACTTATTTTGAGCCTCTGACCGTGTTTTGAGTAAGTTTCCATGCAGCTTGCAGGCATTTCACTTTTGTGAGCGTTCCTTTTAATTTCCATGTCACTAGCTTTCTTTTGTGTAGTTCCCCTTTCTCAAATTAAATGCTACCATGATGTTCTTCATATTCCTACTCCCCCTCCCCGGATGTTAAATTTAATTACATTATGGTCTCTATTACAGAGGTGGGCAAACTACCAGCCCGCGGGACCGTCCTGCCCAGCCCTTGAGCTCCCAGCCAGGAAGGCTAGCCCCTGGCTCCTCCCCTGCAGTCTCAGCTCACTATGCCACCAGTGCTCTGGGCGGTGGGGTTGCGAGCTCCTGCCGGGCAGCACGTTGTTGTAAGCAAGACACGAGAAGTAATTCTTCCACTGTACTCTGCGCTGATTAGGCCTCAAGTACAGTATTGTGTCCAGTTCTGGGTGCCACATTTCAGGGAAGATGTGACCAAATTGGAGAAAGTCCAGAACAGAGCAACAAAAATGATTAAAGGTCTAGAAAACATGACCTATGAAGGAAGATTTGAAAAATTGGGTTTGTTTCTTCTGGAGAAGAGAAGAATGAGAGGGAACATAAGTTTAAGTACATAAAAGATTGTTACAAGGAGGAGGGAGAAAAATTGTTCTTAATCTCAGAGGATAGGACAAGAAGCAATGGGTTTAAATTGCAGCAAGGCAGGCTTAGGTTGGTCAGTAGGAAAAACCTCCTAAGTGTTAGGGTGGTTAAGCACTGGAACAAATTGCCTAGGGGATTGTAGAATCTCCATCATTGGGGATTTTTAAGAGGAGGTTAGACAAACACCTGTTAGGAATGGTCTAGATCAGGGGTCTCAAACTCATGGCCCGCGAACCTCCCCAATGTGGCCTGTGGGGCTCCAGTAGTTTTGGCCCCACCTGCCTCCCCCAGGCAATTTAAAATAGCCTGGGGCCCCAGCAGCACAGCGCAGCTGAGCAGTATCTGCCTGCTCGCCCCACATGTCTGACCCCTCCCACTTCCAGACTAGCCCCCTCCCTGTGGCACCGGGGCAGGGCTATGTTTCCGCGCGCTGCCCCAACCCCAAGCGTCCCTACGGCCAATGGGAAGCTGTGCGGGTCATGCCTGGGGGCAGCAGTGCACGGAGGCCCCCCGGCCCACCCTGTCTTGGGAGCCCCAGGTAAGCACCACACCCCGACCCCTCCTCCCACAGCCTGCACCCCCACCCCCTTCCCAATCCCCTACACTACACCTCCTCCCCCACTCAAACTCGCTCCCAGAGCCTTAGGCAGGTGGGGGGCAGAGTTTTGGGGGATGGGTTCTAGGTGGCATGAGTGACATTATTGGCCCGCTGGGAGGATGAGAAGACTGGCACTGGCCCTAAGGCAAACTGAGTTTAAGACCCCTGGTCTAGAGAATACTTAGTCCTGCCATGAGTGCAGGGGACTGGACAGTCCTGCCATGAGTGCAGGGGACTGGACTAGATGACCTCTCAAGATCCCTTCCAGTCCTATGATTCTATAAACTGTATTAAAGCAGAGTTAAGTGCTGCCTCATGCCCTTCCAGCATGTGGAGAGTGGTGAAAGTTAGTACATCTGAAAACCAGCAAATTAAGAACTACACACCACACCTGCAAAACGAAGCTCTGCTCCTACTCCCTAACCTTGGAGCTAGCAAATGTGACTGGGAATAGGTCAGTAAGGAAGGAGCAAAGGTTTACCAACTAACCAGGGAAGTGGCAAATTTTCCATCGCTTGAAGTCTTCAACTCAACATTGGATGCTTTTCTGGAAGATATTTTCATCAAAACACAAGGTATTCAGCTCACTTCAATGGTAACTCGAAACTGTATGGCTTGTATGATACAGAAGGTCAGACTAGATGACCTAATAGTATCTCCTGGCCTTAAAATGTACTGATCAATAGAAGGAAAGACTAAGAACATGCCATTGTTTGTGCTGTGTTCGACAGATTTGAATACCACCACTTATCTCCATGCACTTCAGCTATGCACACTGTGTCAACTGTAGCTTTACATGAACAGTGGAGGGAACAGTTGGAGCAGCTTGGCAGAACTGTGACTGTGATAAGAAGAGAGGTGCATGTGAATCTTGAAGGAACAGGTATTCCTCACATCAGTGCTAAGTGTTGTAGGTTGTGTCAATGAAGGTGCACGAGGGTGTGTTCTTGCCACGAGGGTTGTCAGCAGTCTGGTGGCATATGTGCTAATGGTCTCCAATGCTCAGTGAGGATAAGTGAAGGAATCCAGAGTGCAAGGGTAAAGGGGTGGTGACAATCTGAAAGTCTAAGATGGATAGTGCGCAGTGGACTCAGTGTTTGAGTACAGGCAAGGGGTAGGTAGCTTCTGTTCCCTACACTGGACCTAACCAAGTTTTGCCTTTGCAAAGAGAAGGTGTTGGACTTTGTGTTATCCTGCTCCCGTCCTCTGTTTCCAAAGTGTTGTGTAGCAGGGGAGGGCAAAGTGCTAATATAAGTGTCATTGGCCTGTTGGAGTGTTGCTGAAACAGGGCACAATTTGAGGTTGCATTGAGGGTGTTGTGAACCTTAGTTGTTCTTTCCCATTCTAATAACCGAGAGGACAGGAATCCTTACCCAGCGAGGTCACATTCTCATAGTTCTCCTGCATAACGTCTCTGTAGAGGGCTCTCTGAGCGGGGTCCAGCAGAGCCCATTCTTCTTCGGTGAAATACACAGCCACCTCCTCGAAAGCCATTGGCCCCTGAAAGAGCAACAGCCCCTCACTCAGTACCTGCTGCCTACTGACAACCCCACTCCTCACAGGGGAGGAGGGCCAATCACTTGGGGTGTGGGTGGAATGCTGCCTGCCTCCCACAGCTTCCATCACATGACAGCAGCCAGAAAGCATCAAAGGGAAGGGAGGAAAAAGAGCACCCCCACTCCTCCCAGCAGAGAGAGGGGGAAGGAGTCTTCACATTCATCACTCATCTACGAGCCAGAGGCTGATACAGGAGATGGAGCCCCCAGCAGGGTCCAGGGACAACCCCCTGATGCAAATTGCAACATCCTCCTCATTGCCAGCAGCTAGAGAGGAGGGGATGGAGTATATTCCCTAGGCCTCACTGGTAGGTGCCCCTTTACTTCTCACAGCAGCCGCTGGCTAGTATTGAAGTCTGGTAAGTTTCCCTAGCCCAGTCTGGGGAGGTGGGCGGTTGTTTTCTGCATGACTAATTAGGGAATTCCCACCCACAAATCAGAGGGGTCTGTTGCTGAGATCTAGGCATCACGGTAAACAAATCTTAGCAGCCTGGCCCCCTCCCTTTCTTCACTCTGTGTATTTCCTGACCCCTCCCACTTCCAGACTAGCCCTCTCCAAAGTGCCCACCTCCTCTGTATTTACTGCTCTTCTCCCTCCAAAGAGAACCCACCAGCAACTCCTTGATAATCCCTACCTCAAATGGCTCCACTGCAGCCATTTCCCTTCCCTGGTCCCTGGAAGGACAGAATGAGCTGGAGCAAAACATGGATGTTACGCTGCAGCCTGTTAAGGCAAAAAGGGTAATTGGGGACATGTCAGAACAGGAAATAACTTCACAGCACAATTCCCCCCAGGATCTTTCCCTGCACATGGATGAACAGAACAATTCAAAACAGTGATGGAGGAGGGGGGGCTTTATCTACCTAGATATCCGTTAGAAAAGGAATTCAAGCAAACGCAAAGTGTCCAATAAGTTCTTGGAATGTACAGGGGACACCTGTTTTCTTTGAGAGGATGGAAGCATAATCATAAGTGGTTCACTGACAAACTGGGAGGCTGTATCTAACGTGGTCCCACAGGAACCAATCCTTGATCTGCTACTACTCAATATCTTCCTTAATGACTTGGATAATGGAGGGGAAAGTGTGCTTATTAAATTTTCAGATGACACCCAACTGGGAGAGTTGTAAACATGTTGGAGAACAGGATTAGAATTCAAAATGACCTTTATAAATTAGAGAATTGATCTGAATGAACAAGATGAAATTCAATAAAGGCAAGTGCAAAGTACTACATTTTAGGGAAGGAAAATCCAATGCACGACTACAAAATAGGGGCTAACTGGCTAGGGGGCAGTACTACTCAAAAGGATCTGGAGGTTATAGTGAATCACAAATTGAATCTAAGCCAGCCATGTGACTCAGTTGTGACAAAGGCTAGTTCAGTACTGGAATAGGTTACCGAGGGAGGTTGTGGAATCGCCACCACTGAAGGTTTTTAAGGATTGGTTGGACAAACACCTCAGTGTTGGGGGCTGGACTAGATCATCTCATGGTTCATTTCAGCCCTACAGTTCTCAGATTCTATTCTGAGGAAATGTTTGGTCATTTTACTGACCTGGCCCATCCCACCAGCACTAAACAACAGAGACATTTTGAAATCCTACCAGTAACAAAGTCTGGGAACCAAATACAAGACAAGAGCAGAACAAAAGGAGTGACTTTGGGGGATTTCCCCTGATATTATCCCCAGGGAAGCACACTCCCACAGCCGGTGGCACAGTCAGAGTCAGGAATTGGCTTTTCCTCTCCCTGCATTTCACCTTGTTCACTGGAAAGTGAATCTGCCCAGGGATGCTGCAGTAAGTGTGTGTGGGAAAGTCAGAGATCTGGGAATCTCTCCCTAATTATTTCTCCCACTGCCCCTATCAATCTCTCTCTTTTTCTCCTTGTGTTTCCAATCTCCTGTCCTGCCCCCTCTGGCAGACAGCCAGACAGCCATTCCTGGGTGTTCGCTCTCCTGTGGCTGGATTGGCTCCTGCAATTGCTAAGGGGAGGAGAGATGTGGGGTGAGGTGGGGCTGTTTGTACACAGTCACTTTCATACCCATCCCCAGCAGGTTCCCTGAGGTCTCTATCAATCACCTGGAGTCTCTGCTTCAGATGTTGGTGTGGGCAGAGCCTAGGGCTGGCCCATGGAGCTAATTACAGCTGGAGAAAGTCCTCACCTTGCCTGGGCATAGAGGAAGCTTCACTTCAAGTCACTTCCAAGCCCAGACCCCACCGGGGGAGCAGCAGCTGCTCAGTCTGGGCTCCCAGATCACAATGCAGGCAGCAGTGTCTGACCCAGGAAGCTCAACCCCAATATCTTAAGACGAGAGAGAGACACAGTCAGACAGAGACAGAGGGATCTTCCCCCTCCCATTCCTTTAGAACAACTGATACCCCCACCCCCCAGGGACATATCCTGATTTTATTTGCCCCCATGTTAATCTGGAGTCACTCCATGTTCTTCCTTGAAGTGTCTCTTGATTAACACTGGTCTCAGTGAGACCAGAAACATGGCTCAGGAGGGATGAGGCCAGAGTCCTTTCCTCCTCCCTCATTCCCTCCTCTTCTTCTGAGGACAGCAACAGTTTTCCCTCCAAAACCTGGTCTGTCATGATTTCATATCAGTATTTGATAAATGGATAGGGAGTTATCAGCTGCGCCTCCCAGCCGTTCACACGGGGTGGTGGGAGCCCTGGGCGAGGCTTCTTTAACAGGAAAATGGATGGCATGGAGGAGCCAAATTTTTTAAGAAATTTCCATGCTCAGTGACTGGCAGATAATGGCCAATAGGTACCTACTCCCGAGATGACTACGTCTCAGCGCTGGGCGAAGCAACCCCTCATGGAGACCAACTGTCATGGGGGTTTGGGATACTGCTGGTGAACATGATGAGGGGAAAGTGAGAGGCTAATACAGTAGCATGGAGATTCTCAGCCACTCTGGGTACAGCCTGGACAACAAGGAGCCAGGCACAGACTGAGCCATCGTCCTGTGCCCACTGAGGAAAAGAAAAGGGTCCAGCCAACTGTTCTGTGAGCAGCTGGGAAACCCCATTCCCCCAAACAGGGGGAGGCCTCTGGCTTTGGTGTATATTAAATATGGGATAAGTCACTTTCATCAGCAAACACTGTAATGAAGATAAAGGGGGAAAGAAATGAGTCTCAAATGAGAGGAGAAAGTTGACCATTTAACTCCCTGCAACCGTCAGGATGGAGAATGACTAAGACAGGGGTGGGCAAATTACAGCATGTGGGCCAGATCCGGTCCCTCAAGGCTTTGGATCCGGCCCACAGGATTGCCACCCCCGTGGCGCTGTGGGCCCCACACTGCTCCCAAAGCAGCCGGCACCACGTCCCTGCGACCCCTGGTGGGCGGGGGAGGGGAGAGGCAGGGGGCTCCAGGCACCACCCCCCACAGCTCCCATTGGCCGGGAACAGGGTACCACAGCCAATGGGAGCTTTTGGGGAGGTGCCTGGAGGCACAGCAAGCGCAACGCATGTGGAGCCCTCTGCCACTCCTCCCCCAGAGATGTGGTGTCGGCCGCTTCCGGAGTGGTGCAGGGAGCCTGCTCTGGCCCCGATGCGCACCGCTGCCAGCCGGATCCACTCCAGGTAAGCTGCACCAGGCCAGAGCCTGAACCCCTCCTGCATCCCAACCCCATGCCCTAAGCCCCCTCCCACACCCCTGCCCTGAGCCCCCTTGTGCACCCCAACCCTGTTCCCTGAGGCCCCTCATATGCCCCAAGCCCCTCCACTGTCCCAACCCCTTGCTCTGAGCCCATTCCTGCACTCCCTCCCTGCACTCCCTCCCACACCCCAACCCCCTGCCCTGCATGCAAATTCCCCACCCAGATGTGGCCCTCAGGACAAAAAGTTTGTCCACCCCTGGACTAAGGCAACAAATTCCCTCCAAAATAGGAGAACTCGCTGCAACTAAACCTCGGAACGTCTCCTAACATGGGAGGTTTTTTAGCAGACATTTAATAATTACATGGAAAACGACAATATCTGACAGCTGATGTCTACGTTAAGTCATTAAAGAGAAAAGGGTGGAAATCTGGAGAATTTTGGATCAATTTTCACAAAGTAGAGCAGAAAGTGGAAAAAATGTGAAGAATTTTATATCGATAGTCAATAGTAGGTAAAGAGGTAAAATGAGAGTGAATTTCATATTGTTATTTGACAAATTGAGAGAAAATGGAAACCTTTTCTAAATATATTCAAAAATTTGAGAAAAGGTCAAAATCTGAGGATATTTTATGTTAATTTATTATTAATGAGACATGGAAAAAATCTCAGGGAATATTAAATTAGAAATAGATAACTAGAGAGAAAGGAGGGCAAGATTTTAGGATATTCTCCGGAAGAAGAGATCTGTGTGTAACTCAGAAATGTATCTCTCTCACCAATTGAAGTGGATCCAATAAAAGATATTACCTCAACCATCTTCTCTTTCTAAATGCAAAGCAATGCACATTGGAGAGAGAAACTAGAGCTACTTATAAACATTATTGCATGGTAAATTAACTATCACCTGTAGCCCATATAGCTAGCTTTAGCATTTATTTTATGCAGCAGTAATGCAAGGAACCCACAGGCCTGTCTCCTGTACAACACTGGCATCAGCAGTTAGCATAAGCCTTGAGGTCTATGAACTCTGGCACAGATAAATGGCCTAAGGGTCAGCCCTAAGGTTTGGGGAACTGGAAATAGAGTGTCTAACGGGGAATTTCATCAGTAAAGACACCAGCCGACCAAAAGAACATGAGCTAACACCGGCTTTCGGATAGAACATCCACAGACGTCTGACCACAGGAGTGCCATGGCAACGTATTGACATATAGGACACTAAAATAAGATCATTAATACACTAACCTACAGGAGCACATCCCAACATTAGTAGGGAGAGGAAATACAAATGAGGAAGAGAGGAGAAACCCCTACTGAACATGCATTACACCTAGCAATGTCAGCATAACATATTCTAGGCTACACAACTCAGGAAAGGGATCTGCATGTTGCTGTAGACAGATCAATTAAAAGGTCCACTTAATGCACAGCTGCCAGCAAAAAAGTTAACATGTTAGGATTCATAAGGAATGGGATGGAGAATACCACCAAACATTTGTATATAAACCAAGGGAGCAACCTCTAATATCCTGGATCACCATGGCTACTACAGCACTGCACACAGGATATTTTATATCAATCTTTCAGAATTGGGGAAGAAATAGGTCTAAAAAGAAACATTTGATAATGAGAAAAACACATGTGGATCTGAAGAGAATTTATATTAAGTAAGTGAAAGTAGTTGGACAGTTTGACTGGATTGTATATGGAAGTTCAATAAACAGAGAGTAATAATTTTCCCCCCACTCACACCATTCACATGGGCAGCAGGGAGCCCTTTGGGGAGGTGCTTTAAGAGGGTACGTGAGGGTAATATGGAGCAGGAAAACTCCCTGGCAGTAGGGAGGAGGCAGCAGCAGGGGCAGGCAGGTGACTGGCACCTGGGGGGAGCTGTGTTGGGCAGTTGGGAGTAGCAGTAACCTGGACTATGTAACCTTGGGCTGGACAGTCTCCACTGGGGATTTTTTCCTCCTGTCCCCTTCCTTGCCTTGTTGTTGGCAGAGAATGGCCACCCCATCCCACCCCAGAGGCAGCTGTGTCTCAGGGCTCTGCAAGCTGCACCCATTAGGCCCCTTCTCATTTGGAGAATGATTCAGGACAATTTCCCGAAGAAAGAAAGAAAATTTGCTGCAGGTCATACGGGTGGGAAAATATCCCAAATCTGAGATTGTTAAATTAACATTGGAGAATTAAAGAGAAAATGGGGCAAACTCTGAAAAGGAGAATAGAGAAAGTGTCGATAATTGCTCCATCAGTACTTCATGGAGCCATTGCTGCTTTTACACCTGAAAGGAGACTTCCTTTCTCTGACTCCTGCCCATGGGGCCATGGTCGGACGTGGTGACCCAGAGAAGCTGACTGGGGGCTGATGCAAGGTAAGCAAAACCGAACCAGCCTCCCAGGGTATTGGGTTGGAAGCCGGTACGGGCAGTGGGCCTGGATTCCCCTACATCAGTGGTTCTCAACAAGGGGTATATGTACACCTGGGAGTACGCAGAGGTCTTCCAAGGGGTATGTCAACTCATCTAGATAATTGTCTAGTTTTACAACAGGCTACACCAGTGGTTCTCAAATTTTTGTACGAGTGACCCCTTTCACATGGAAAGCCTCTGAGTGTGACCCCTTCTTATAAATTAAAAGCACTGTTTATATCTTTAACACCATTATAAATGCTGGCGGAAAGCAGGGTTTGGGGTGGAGGCTGACAGCTCGCGACCCCCCCTCCCCTTGTAAGAGCCCTGTGATGCCCTGAGGGGTCCCAGCCCCCAGCTTGAGGACCCCGGGCTACATAAAAGCACTAGGGAAGTCAGTACAAACTAAATGTCCACACAGCCCATGGCCCGGTCACACTGCTCTGCACACCCTGCACGAAACGTAAGAGCAGCGTGCGCAGCCCCGGCGATGATAAAAAGGAGAAAGACGCCAGCCGCGTTCCGCCAGAGCGCGCTGCGACAGGCGGCGATTTCCAGACCGGAGACCTGGGGTCTGCAAGTGAACCGCTGCCGCCACCAGCCCCTGGGCTCGCCCCTTCGGCAGCAGACCCCCGCGCCGACTGCCAGGGGCGGGGCGGGGCGCGGGCGGGGCGCGGCCCCAGACCCCTGGGCGCAGCCGGGCCCGGCCCGGAGATCTCGGGACACGAGAGTTCGCGTTAGCAGCCTGAGGCCGGGCGCCGGCCGGCCGGGACTGGGGGCGGCGGGGGCAGCAGGAGACGCGAGGTTATGGCGGCGGGGGGGGGCCAGGCTGATCCCGAGACCCTTCCTTACCTGGGCTCGAGAGGGCGGAAGAGCCCCGGGGCAGGCTGGGAGCTGTAATTCCTGGCTCCTCTCAGAGCGGAAGTGACGAGTCAGTTGCTCAGGCAACGCGCGCGCCCCGTACTGCGGGAAGCGGAAGTGCGCCGTCTGCCCACGCGCCCCCTCCCGATGCACACTGGGAAGCGTAGTTCTCTCGCTCAAGCTCAAGCTCTCAAGGGGTCAGTTTGGATGAGCCATTGCCAGCAGGAGAGTGAGTGGGGGGGCGAGAAAACCTGGATTTGTGCTGGAAATGGCCCACCTTGATTGTCATACGCATTGTAGGGAGAGTGGTCACTTTGGATAAGCTATTACCAGCAGGAGAGTGGGGTGGGAGGAGGTATTGTTTCATGGTCTCTGTCTGTATATAATGTCTTCTCTGTTTTCCACAGTATGCATCCGATGAAGTGAGCTGTAGCTCACGAAAGCTCATGCTCAAATAAATGGGTTAGTCTCTAAGGTGCCACACGTCCTCCTTTTCTTTTTGCGAATACAGACTAACACGGCTGTTACTCTGAAATATCTCAAGCTCGGCCTTCTATGGGAGGAGAGGCCACATGTGCCGGGCGGGCAGGACAGAGGCTGCGCCTCGCGGCCCCCGGGGATCTGCTTCCGGGCGGAGCGCGCACCTGGGCGGGGCCGGAGCCGCTGCCTTCACGCTAGTGCTGCCGCTGGGGTCAGTCTCCGGCGCCTTTCCGCGAGGCTGTCGCGGGCGCGCGCTGCGGCCGTTGGGCTCCACGGCGCAGCTTGGAACCCTGCTGGCACCCGGAGGCAGCCCCAGCCCCGGGGGGGGGGGGGTGCTGATCAGTCCCCGGCCCGAGGGAGAATCGCGCCCCAGCGCTGCTGCGGGTGGCGGCCGACGATGAAGGGAGGGTCCCATCTGCACAGACTCAGTTAATGATTTATTGTTGAGTCCGATTTTGGTGGCTGAAGTGAGGGAGGCAACAGGAGGACTTGTGGCACCTTGCAGACTAACCCATTTATTTGAACATAAGCTTTCGTGACTACGGCTCACTTCATCGGATGCCGTAGCTCAGGAAAGCTTATGCTCAAATAAATGGGTTCGTCTCTAAGGTGCCACAAGTCCTCCTGTTCTTTTTGCGAATACAGACTAACACGGCTGCTCCTCTGAAACCTTTCCTAAAGATAGTGCCCCAGGCCCGGTAAGGTTACAATGAATGATTTATGGGATATTTTTAACTTAGACACTTTAATCCACACTAAGATTTTTAATATATGGTTTTTATATTGGCAACTCCTGGATATTTTTTAAAGAAAATAGAACTATTTTAATCCCAAAAGTGCAAAAGGAGAAAGAATTTATGAAACTATCCTCATGGAAACGGTGAATAGGACCTGTGTGGAGAAGGCTGTATACGAGTATTTTAGCTAAAAGATTGACAATTACAGTTAAAATTTGCAAAAAGGGTGCTCCAGGATGCGAAGAAAATATTTCAATTTTAGATAATTTAATAAGGGGAGCAAAGTGGAATGGAGATGAATTAGCTATAATATTTGTTGGTTTGGCTAAGGCTTTTGATTCGGTGGGACATGGGCATATCATGTCCGGCCTGAAAAGATTTGGGATTGATGAACACTTTATAGAAATTCTAAGGGACCTATATGATAATTACACTGCTGGGGTTTGAGTGGGTGATAAAAGTACTGAGTCCATTTTAATAAGGAGTGGGGTTGAACAAGCTGACTCTTTATCTCCAATTTTATTTAATATAGCCATGGATCCCTTGTTACCTAAATTGGAATCTGAGGGCTCGAGGTTTTATATTCAAGGGAATAGTGTCACGTCATTGGCATTTGCCGATGATGTGGCAATTTTAAGTGGCTCTTATCGGGATGGCTAAAAATCTAGGGATTTTAGACTGCTTTTTAGAAATACTAATCTATGGCTTAATGTGAAAAAGACTAAAGGGTTTCACGTATTAGCAAAATATAAGAACTATGTGATCAACCCCAAGGATAATTGGAAATTGGGTACTGAAATTATTGACTATGTATATCTAGGAACATTTTAAAAATACTTGGGGGTGAGGATAGACCCTTGAATAGGGTTTGGAGGAATGTCTCTTAAGGGTAAATTGATTGAATGGAGTGAGAGCTTGATGAAGGCTCCTCTTAAACCCACTCAAAAATTGATGATTTTACAAACATATTTTACCAAGGTTGTTTTGTAATTGAGCCTCCTTCTTATATTTTATGCGAACTTGATGTTTTAGTTAGGAAAGTAGTTAAACAGATTTTACACCTCCCACAGAGTACCACTGATGGGTTATTTTATGCAAGGGGAAGAGATGGAGGGCTTGCACTAACTAAGTTTAGTGTACAAATATCTAATATGCTCATTCGTAAATGGAGAAGACATACTGTGTCTAGGGACGATTGGATAGATTTATCCTTTGTGTATACCTGTGAAATTTAATTTGATAAAATATTGATTCTTAGTGCAGCTACAGCAAATCTTAAGAAGCGGAGAGAGGAGGAATGTATTAGATGGTGTAACGAGATGTCAGGGGATAGGTATCATGTATTTTAGAAACGATACAATTAATAATTCAATTTTGAAAAGATCTTGTATGATTAAATCTTCCTCGCTGATTGCCGGATTACAGTTAAGGGCTAATCTTTATCCAACAAGGGAGATATTGGCAAAAGGTAGAGAGGGACTAAATGCCATGTGCAGATGGTGCAGAAAGGTTAGGAAAACAGTACCACATATATCTGGGCAATATTTTAAAACTAAGGATGCTCGGATAAGAAGACACAATAGGGTAGTCTCTGTGGTAATTGATAACATTTGCAAATTAGGGTGGAAATCAATAGTAGAACCTCATTGGAGAAATAGAGAAGGAAATTTGCAAAAGCCAGATATTGTTTTCGTAGAAGGGGATACTGCAGTGGTGGTTGATGTAACAGTTCATTAGGAAGATAATGCCAGGAGTTTGGAAAGAGCCCACAGGGAGAAGGTTGCCTATTACTCCGAGTTGGAGGACGTCATTAAGAAGATATTGGGAGTCAGAAATTTCCACTTCTTTGGCCTTGTAATTGGGGCTCATGGCCAGTGGAGCAAACTAAATGACTTTTATAGATTCATAGATATTAAGGTCAGAAGGGACCATTATGATCATCTATTTTGACCTCCTGCACAATGCAGGCCACAGAATCTCACCCACCCACTCCTGTGATAAACCTCTCACCTATGTCTGAGCTATTGAAGTCCTCAAATCGTGGTTTAAAGACTTCAAGGAGCAGAGAATCCTCCAGCAAGTGGCCCGTGCCCCATGCTACAGAAGGAGGCGAAAAACCTCCAGGGCCTCTGCCAATCTGCCCTGGAGGAAAATTCCTTCCCCACCCCAAATATGGTGATCAACTGAACCCTGAGCATATGGGCAAGATTCAACAGCCAGATACCCAGGAAATAATTAATAAATAAGTGGGAGGCCTCTGGTGAAATACCACTACTCTTATCGTTTTTTCACTTACCCAGGGCAGCGAGCCCCAAGGGGCTCTTGCTTCTGGCTCCAAGTGCCCGGCATGTGCCAGTTGCGACCTGCTCCGGGGACAGTGTCAGGTGGGGAGTTTGACTGGGGTGGTACACCTGTCAAACCATAATGCAGGTGTCCTAAGGTGAGCTCAGGGAGGACAGAAACCTGTGGAGCAGAAGGGCAAAAGCTCACTTGGTCTTGATTTTCAGTATGAATACAGACCATAAAAGCTTAATAGTCGAGACAGAGCAGGTCCGGGAGGAGGCTTAATAGTCGTCTCCCAGGGGGTCTGGGGGGAGGCCTAGTAGTCATCCCCTGGGGGTAGGCTTACTAGTTGTCCCCTAGAAAGCTGAGAAGGGAGTACCCAGGTCTGGCAGAGAGCGGAAGCACCATCCCACAGTTCTCGTGGGGTCGAAGAGCTCCCTCTGGCAGCTTGGTCTGGGGCCCCTGCAGAGGAAGCCAGGGAGAGGTGGGGAGCCGGAGCCCGACTCCCCAGCCCTGGGTGCCCCTCAGGCTTGGCTAGGCATGAGTGGCCAAGCCCTGATGGTCAGTCTAGGTCAGGCCAGGCATCGGTTCAAGACCCCAGGGAAAAGGGCTGGAAATTTTTCTAAATCCCCACTTGGCCACCAGGTCGACCCCAGTCTAGCAAACAGGTTGACCTGATGGCTGGAAGTTTTGTGGTACTATCACGGATGTTCACAGGAGGGGAGAACCCAGGCAGCCCTGGCCTGGCTTGGTTGGCCATGGCTGATTCTGGGGTGGTGCCTGCTCCCAGTGGCAAGGCGCAGGGGGGCTGAGTGACACCACGCGAGTCCGCCCCAGGGCCGGGTGTGCCATTTTAGGTGCTGTGGGTCCCCCTTGGAGGAGGCTGCACACCCGCTATCCAGGCCTCGCTTGGGTGGCTGCTGGAGGATTTGTGGTGGTTTTGCAGGCCAGCGGCTGGGTGCAAGAGGGGGCAAGCGACTCCGGGCGAGTCCACCCAGGGCCAGGGGAGTCTTCTGCAACTTTGGGAGCTGTGGGTCCCCGGTGGAGGAAGCCGTGGGGAGGGAGCCATACACCCACTGCCCAGACCCATGACCTCCAGCTGTGACCTCTGACTTAGCGGAACCAGGGGCTGAGGAGCGATGAGGAGCTTTCTGGGGCCCCTGTCCTTCCTCCCCAGGCGAATTCACATCCTCTTGGTGAGGCGTTGGCCTCCACTGGGGTGGACCGAGGGGCCAGACGTGTGGGAAGGAACAAAGAAAATGCTGAAACCACAGTGGACAGAAAGAAAGAAAACGAGAGAGCTGGCTCAGATCGGGAAAAGCTGCCTACAGCACCTGGGATTCCCATGCTGTGGTTGGGTGGGGTGGGGTGGGGGTGCTGGGGAAAGTCATGCTTCCAGGGGCCTGATTGTGTCCTGCGGGAGCCACCCCCCATCGCTGCAGCTGGAAATGTTGAGCCCCGGTCGCATTGCCGTGTAGTAGGTCCCCCATCTCTCATCGGCCCAATCCTTTTTTCCCTTTCAGGCTCCGGGGCAAGGCCTGGCTGGGAGGTGGGGATCGGAGCTGCCTTTGGCCACAGAACCTCCT